GGGGGGGGGGGGGGGGAGGTAGGGAAAGAGAGAGAGACAGAGAGAGGGATCCCAATATTCTCTTTAAGAGCAAGTTCCCAGTGATCTAACTTCTTTCCACTAGGCCCCACCTCTTAAAGGCACCCCCCCCACACACAACAGTGCCATGCTGAGGAGCAAGCCTTTAACACATGAGCCTCTGGGGAAGGGGGGTACATTTCAAATCCAGACTACAGCAGTATACACCGCTATCCAAGATACATTGTTGAAATAATGCTGCGTGTTTGCAGCATTTGCCGGGGATTTCTAGGGGATTTCTTAGCCTGGCACAGGCTCAGTAAGCCTCATTACTTATGGTCTCTACCAATTGGGAACCTAAGATCATTCTCTGGGCTGACATTTATCTTTGCATTTTCTGTAGAAAGAAGAGGTTTGCTAAGTAAATAAAGAGTAGAAATAATATTTTAATGGCAATGTTTAAACTAGCTGGGAGAAGATTTCTAAGGATCCCATGGCTTTCATTTATATACTAACAACAAATTATCTACCTGGTGGTCTTCTTTCTGGCTTCTTCATTTCTGCACAGCTACTGTCATGCCCCGATTCACCCCTCTTACGGCAAAGCTGAGCAGTCTCCTAAACCAGTGGACTTGGCCTGTCCACTTCCTGTCCCCCTCCTCCTCCTCTGTAGCCCAGCCCTCACTGATGATGCTACCCTAGGACTAGAAGACTCTCCCTGGGCCCCTCTTACCACACCCTCCAACATTCAGCCATCTGCTGCTCCAATGGTCTTCCAAATTTTTCTGTAAATATTCCTGACTCTTTTACCCCAGGACTTTGAGATTCTCAACTCTGTAGCTTCAAGTTCCCTGTTCCCAGCATTGGATTTAGCAGAGTACTGGATAACTGTAGGTCCACAATATCTACCTGAGACCCCTCAGGGCCAGATGTATTTTGGGATTCACAGTTTCTCTGATTTCAAGATGATGATACAGTACATCCAACGTATTTTAGGTAGCATCCAAACAGTACTGGAGCAGCATTCATCAAGGATGTTGATATTTTTCCAACAAAACATATGAATTTCTCCCTTGTTGTAATATATAAATAGCTTTCCATTCTGTTTGGTCACAGAATAGTTTATTCAAAAAGTTTTTTTTAAATTTTTTTCACTTCAGAATTGTGTTACAGGATTAAGGAGCTGTAGTAGGTTTACCATGGCCATTTTATACTGTCCAGACTTTAAATAATACGTTTTTCTTTAAAAGTCTCCATATTGCAGATTTTGGTTAATTCAAACTGGTCTTCTCCACAGTTAGACCAAATTACTGAGGCTTTCCTTACCAGACTGTGTTCAGATTATGAGAATTTCATGATCATAACGCTGCCCTAGCATTTACAAACTTTCCAATTCCAGCTCTATTTCTAAAGCATTTTCACCTTGCTATTAGGAAACAAAAGTCCCCATTGAGTTGCTTATTTTAGCAAAATGTAGATGTGTAGTAATCATTTTGGTTGTCTTCTGCCTAAAGAAGGCTTTGCTCGAGAAGGATAGATTATCCTTAGTAGGGTGGATTTACATTTTTAAAAATCCCAGTTAGGCTGACCTCCTCCCTTCCCACCCCCAGCCAAATAAGAGTTAAACATTTAAGTGTGAGTTTATCTAATGTGTAACCTAAGTCTATAAAGTGCTCCACAGGAAAAAAAAAAAAAAACCCGAAAAACCTCCACACACAGTTAAACATATACTAGTATCACTCTTCTGAACTTGACCAATAAGCCCTTCTTTAAACACAGCCAAGCCAAACACTACGCAAGCGACGCAGGGCTTGGGCTCATACATACATCATGGGATGCAGGCCGAATGGGTCACAGCACTCTAACAGGCAATTCCTAGGCAGTTATTTTGACATTAGAAAGTCACAATCCATCAACTTAACAGCAGGGCAATAATTTTGGGACCAGGGAGATGGCTATTCAAAATGACACTGTGGGAAGTAAACAGTAGTTCTAAGAGCCCTGTTTGCGAAGGAAGACATAAACTAAGTGGAATTTCTTTCCACCTCTGGAACTAGCTATTATTATGTAATGTGCTCTTGTGTAAGCATGTTATTTCTGGGGGTTGAACTGAAAAGTTGTGCCTGTCAGGCCTAAAGAACATGCAGGTACCTGGACCTGGCTAGATGCATGCAGATGAGAAGAGATGGATCCCCCATGACAACACCTCAATGTGTGTCCAAACATTTCCACTGACCTGTGGTACCCCAAGCCTACATTTTAGAAGATATAAGTTACCTGACTCTGCACACTGCAAATTAATCAATCAATCCTCCAGTGCCCTATGATATGGGCCTCCTTGGGGAGATGGAAAACACCTGAATTTTATCTTGAGGGATCACTGGAGCCAACAACCCCACGGTGAGCTCTTCCTAACCCACATATCCTTGGTCTCCCACTCTGTTCTCCTGGACAAGGATCCTCTTCCACCCTTCGCCAATGCTTCTGAGATTCTGTCAGCAGCTGGATGGAGCGACAGCTGGGAAGTTCCCAGCTACTAGGCTGGTGATGAGACTGGGGTGAGAAGTGGGGAGGGGGTGCGGACTCCAGTGAATGGTCTCCCATGTTCTCATTTCATAATAACCCCGAGAGCACACACATGAGCCCTAAGGGGTGGCCATGCTGCAGATAAAAGGACAGTGCCACTCTTTTTTTTTTTTTTTAAACTCTGGAAAGGAGAAATGAGAGAGGAAGAATGGGTAAGAAATGCATACCGATGGCTGAAAAAGCAAACAAGAGCTTTGGATGGATACATGTAGATACATGTCTTGGAAGAGAGATGCAATCTGGGTGGTGAAGATTTTCTTGATCAGCTATGTTGCTTCTATGGAAACCAAAGTAGTCTCGGTAGCAGCCCACACCCTGCCAGGGTCACGACTAGCCAGAGTGGGGACTAATGTTCTTACCACAGTCCTTCCCTATTTTGCTGCTTGCCCGACATGCTGACAGCATGTAAGACAAATTATTTTCAGTTTGTACTTTACTATTTTAAAGAAAAAGAAATTCACTGTATGGACAAAATACCAACAAGTAAGAACAATCACCTCTTAAAGCAAAGATGAATAGGTCATCACTGTCCACATCTTGTTTTAATAAATATTTGTGGCTGTTTAAATGGTGTTTCATGTTCATTTCAAAAACTTCCCTTCATGGAAACAACTAGAACACATTAGCTCAAATATCTGAAAATCCACACATTTCAGAAAAGCTGTTCTTAAGCAACCAATAGAAGAACAAAGTCAATTCTGGTTCCATACCTGGAGCGGATATTCTTCCGTGAAGCACAGACTCACTGGGCAGCAGATCTTTTGAATTGGAGGTGAATGGTGATTGTCTAAATGTGTCTTCTGAAAAGAAAGGGCTGGGGGTAGGGGAGGAGGAGTGAGGTTTAGTAAATTAAGGTTATTTCAGTAAATTAAAGTTATTTAAGACACCCAGAGCATCTGGACCCGAATATATACACATACACACAAAATACTGCACAAGGTGTTGTTTTAAATAATGCTCAAAGATGATGATATTGTATTAAAGACAGAGAAAGACAAGTGCCATCTGTCCATTCTGCCTACTGGCTTTATATTTAGGATGCACAGATTAATCATCACCTTTGAAACACTGTTGAACCCATTGAGGGGGCAACCGAGTGGTCATTTTACTCTTGCTCAATGCTTTCTCAGTATGGTTTGCCCAAATAAAGACCAACTGCCTGGGTCAGAATCAGAAAGACCTTATCTGTTTTTTTTTTCTTTCTTTCTTTCTCCTCCGTTGTGGAGATGGAATTGCCAGTCCTGGTTCACCCAAAATCTGTCATCTGACCCTGAGGGATTCTGTTCGCCCCAGAAACTGCATCTGCAACCATAACCAGGAACTGGGTTTAGGCTGCAGGAGTGAACCCTGAGAGCAGTGGAGCAACCCTGAGCCCCTACTGCACCAGCTAGACTCAGAAGCAGGACCACCAGACTCCAGCCAGGGCTTTCCCCTCGTACCACAGCCACAGCGAAGGCAAAGGTTTGGATGCTGTTAATGAAGGGGTTCTAACCCAGTCATGGGGTCCACCTTCCATCCCTCTAAAATAAACAGTAAAAAATAAATAAAAAATAAAAAAGTATGGCAATCCCAAGTGAGAATACGGCACCATCCATCAGCGTGCAACCTGGAAAACGGGAAGCCCTATGTACACCCGAGAAAACTGAACCGGAGAACCAGGTGTCCAGGCGGTGGAAGGTCCATGGGGCAGTAACCTAACCCTGGGACGGGAAGAGCAGAAAGCCACCCCACCCTGAGGTTAGGGCGCCAAAAGGAGGGGGTCAACGAAGCCCTGGGACCGGGGTCACCTGGCGAATGGCAGAGGCAGGAGGAGCCTGCTCAGGGGAAGGCGGAGCCAGAACTAGAGCCACGGAGAAGCAAGTGCGGCGGGAGGGCCGCGGCTCCTTCTCAAGCCCCACCCCCAAGGCCCACAGGGCCTCTGATTGGCTGAACCTTCCCAGTAGGCGGGGAAACGCCACATCAAGGGATCCGCCCCCTGCAAACCGCAACTTGGAGGAAGAAAGGGACGCCAGAGAGCACACGCCTAGGGCTTTTCAAAACGTGGCACGAGGCTGTGATCACTATTATTGAATATCAAAAGGGGGTTATTAAGATGAAATTGAAAGACTTTTTTTTTTTTAAAGTAAAACATACATTGATGGATAATAGTGTTTCCACGTGACTGTTAGGCTAGATTTAATGCAACTGTGCCTGGCATGCTTTTTATTTATATCATAAACACATGACAATTTAAATAGACTAAAAAACTGAACTGGCTAGTCGGGCATAGTGGTGCACACCTGTAATCCCAGCTACTCAGAAAGCTGAGGCAGAAGGATGGCAAGGCCTTTCTGGGCAACTTGGTGAGACCCTGTCTCAAAAAAAAAAAAAAAAAAAAAAAAAAGCTGGGGATGTGGTTCAAGGGTACAGTGCACTTGAGTTCAATCCCTTGTGCCACAAAAACAAACAAGTGAATGACAAAAACTGGCTATAGGCTAGGGGTGGGGATAAGGGAAAGGGTAGATTTGTAATTTTATACCAAATACCTTGTAAATTACAAGCTATAGAAACACTTTGAAAGATGAAGCAGCAAACCACTGTGGCTAAGTGCATGCACTGGAGAGTAGGCATGCACTTAGGAGCTGTGTGACATTTGACAAATTACTTAACTTCTCTGAGCTTTCATCTTGTCTACAAAATGGAATGATAATGAATGGGCATCTCACATAGGAACTGGAGGATTAGGGAGGGTACATGGAATGTACTTTGCATAGTGTCTGGCAAATAATGAGTGCTCAATAAATGGGGACTATATTGTTTTAACTTGGTTCTCTCTATAGCCCAAAGGGGAGCATAAATGAATCAACTTTTCCACAGAAGTTAAGTAAAAGGGTAAAGTTCCCTTTGTATTAAAGCCATTACAAAATTAATGGAGGAAAGGCCACTCTGATTTTGAAGAGTTGGTTAGGTGCTGGGGGATTCGGCTAATTTTCAATCCTTCCATTAAAAATCTTGCTAAGGATCAAGACCTTCTAAAGAGAACGGAAGATTGCCAGTTGAACCTAGTGCAACCCTGCTCAATTCCAACATGATTCGCTCTGAAGCTCATACACTAGGTGACAGTGACACCCTGGTGTCTGAGTTTCCAGTCCACATGGGAAACACTGCAGGGGCACAGGGAGAAGGTCAGGCACCAGCCTTTTGCACGATAGTGACTCTGGCTGTAGAAAGTGCCTGGAGTCTGCAGGTTCAGGGGAGCTCATGGACCTGTAGTTCTGAAATGCTGACTCCCCTTTGGGAACACCAAGAGGGCCAAGAGCCATCTCCAGAAAGGGTGTCTATAAATAGCAGTGCCACTGAGAAACATGGCACCAGCTTCATTTTTACAGTAATGACTATAGTTGTTACAGTGACTGCCCTCGGTTTTACAGTAACTGCTCAGTGAGTGCCTATGACACGCCAGGCCCTGGGAACTGCAAGCCAGCAGTGGCCCCTGCAGAAGAGGGGAGAGCTTAGAAGAGAAGGCAGGTAAAGATGATGGGCACGTTGAAAACCAAGCCTAGAAAGAGTGAAGAGGCTGCCATGCTACGTGCAGGGGATAGCTTTCTGGGTTTTGCTATGCGGTGGCCACAGGTGAGCTCTGCATCTTTCAAAGGGTGGATTGACATCCATGTGAGGACCCAACCCTGTTACTGCTGAGCTACTTGGTAGAAATTGAGTTGGAAGGGAGACAGTGACTGAGCAAAGCAACTTTCCAAATAATTTTCTAACCTGGAGGCCACTTCACCCTGTATAGCAAAGAATTCTTCTCCTGCAGGAGGGAGGGTTCCGAATGCACAAATGCACAGACGCAGCAGCACTCCTTTACGGGGGCTGAGAATGAAGAAGCTTCTAGAAATCAAGGCAGCATAAGGTCTTATATAACAGGTTAACAGAGCATCAGTGTCAGGTCCAACATGCCATGGACATGCTCTGCATTTGTACAGGGAGGTGAGGAGCGCAGTGGGCTAGCAGTTTTGAATCAGAAGGATTTGACTGAGTTTGAGGTTCTTATTGGCCACTTAGCTAAGTGAACTTTCTCAAGTCAATAACCTTGCCAGCGGCAGTTTCATCTTTGGAAAAAAGAGGTTCAGAAATTATAGGGGCACTGTGAGCATTCAATGAGGTCTTTAGTGTTATAGTTCTCAATCAACAGTAGCAACTAACACTAAGTATCTAGCATTGCTTTAAAGTGCTGTGTGTGTGTGTGTGTGTATGTGTGTGTTGGACTTAAATTAATCCTCACAAGAACCCAATGGGGGGTGGTAGCTACCATTGTTATTACCCCTATTTTACTGATGAAGAGACTTAGGCACAGAGAAGTTACGTAGTTGCTCTTGCCCCTGAGCTAAGCCAGGATTTGCATCAGGGTAGGTTGGCTTTCCTGGCCAAGAGATCTTGTGTGGTCTCTTAATACCGAGGGAATTTTGGACAATATGGATCTGTGGATCCTTCTTGGAATGGATAAAGCAAAAGGAAGGAAGAGGCAGGAGGGATGAAGGATGTAGGAGCCTAGGAAGTTGAAGGCAGTCATTTGCAGTTGAGAAACAGAGCAAGTGAAAACAATTTTAGTCACTAGTTCTCTCTAAAATAATATATGCCCCCATTTTCTAAAACCTCTGCAACCCACGGGCCTGGCCAGTTTGCAATTTTGAACAGTCCCCACGATCTGTACCCACTGCTTTTGAGGGCAAGCTGGACTCTCTTAACCCTGGTTGAAAAAGGCAGGGTATTGAGGCCATTAGGTGTTTATAAACTGCCACTTTAGCACCAATATGAAGTCCGTGGTGGCATCATGGCCGTGCACACAGCACTATAGTAACCTTTTAGCTGTGCAGACCAGCACTGCTTTGCAGGAGGGCGAAAGGGATGGATAAGTGAACTGGGAGCCTGCCCTGTAGCATGCGCTTGCTGAATGGATCAGTTCTCCTGTACCATCGGTCATCTTAACTCTGACCATGTACTGAGAGGACAGGACACTGAGAAGTGCAGCTTGGGACTAAGAAGGTAGGTTGAAGAATATGGAGACACTCTCCCAGGCATGCTTTTTCTTCTGCTGAGCCTCGCAGTGGGTGGACAGTGGAGAAGACACTGGCTCTCAGAGGACACCTGGCTTTGCAGTGGACGCAGCACCCCGGAAGGCTATGCTGAGGCTGTTCAGTGACTGTCACTGTTGGGAGAGGGTGGAGGGGACAGAAGTTCCAGGAGGTGCTTGATGCAGGATAAACCAGAGCTGCATCTTCCCCAGAGGGAAATGAAGCAGTTTGCCATGCACACTCGGCACGTCTGCACAGGCCTTCACCTGGGAACCTGTTACAGATGACTCCAGACAAGGGGCCAGGTGGGACTGTCATGTGGCCCTGGACCTCTGACTCTCCCTACCCAAACTTTTGTCATTTCATTTGTCTATCAGAAGGTAAGCTAAGGAAGTGAAAAAAAGGAAAAACTGTGAAAAAGAAAAGAAACTGATTTCTAGTTAATATCTTTGGTAAAAAGATGGTAGGAGAGAATGCTGAAACTAATAACTCTCGGGAGAGGGGATCGTCACTTACTCTGTTGAATAATCTCCATCTACCAGGACATACTCCCGTGTGGCCAGGGACACAGACAGGCTACCTGGAGGACTGAGCTTCATTTAAATATTCTACAAGTATTCAATAGTGGTATCTGGCAGTTGTGGGTTTGGACTGGACCAGTCCAACTGCTCTGCTTCTTTTTCCTGTGTTTCATTACTTAAAAAAGATGTCTTACGAAACTTCTATCTATTTGAGTTTCTTTTCTGGATAAAAGTGAACC